TGTTACTCATCCTTTGGAACTAACTCTCTTCATTGAGGATGCAGCCACACTAGATGCCTAACTTTTAGTTAGCAAAGTTAAACTTTAGTCCTCCTTTCACTGCCGTTTTTCTAGGAAACTGCTGCTTCCTTCTGATCTTTGCTGTATCAACTTGTCTCCAATAAATTTCTTTAAGTATCTCCATTAGGCCCTATTCATAGAAGAGGTGTTGAACAATGGCTGTAGTCCCAAGATATAATTTCCTTGTTGAATCCTGGCACAGTTGCCATATTCTTTTCCTGCTTTTTAGCAGCTTTTTTCTTGACTCCTCTTTCCTATTGCCTTGCACTACCCCATTGCTGACACAACCAGTAATGGTGTTGATATGTGATAGAAGTGTAAGTCCCACATTTCTAGACATGTGTTATGCACATAGAACCACAAAGACTAAATATTATATTATATTGTTATATTTTATATTATATTGAAGACTTGAAATTCTTCTACACAATTAATTAATGATTTTTTAAAAAAAGGGAAACTGGTCTCAAAACTTGTAAACACTTCTTAGCATGTAATTCTCAGCTCCGAAACCTGACCTACTACTAGTGCAATCCTCCAACTCAGCAGGGGATTTACTCATATGGAAGACCATCAACAGACATTTGCATCAAGGGACTTCTTATAAGGCCATGCAGTGATAGGACAAGGGGAAATGTCTTCAAGCTGAAAAAGGGCAGGTTTAGATTAGATATTAGGAATATTTTTTTATGATAGGAGTGGTAAAAGACAGACTGGCACGTGGTTCAAAGTAGCCTGGAAGTGCTGAAGGCTCTGAGGGGCTCTGAGCAACCTAGTCTAGTGAAAGGTGCCCCTGCCCATGGCAGGGATTTTGGAACAAAGTTATCTTTAATCCCTTCCAACCCAGGCCATTCTATGATTCTAACTAATGGCACATGCACAGGACTTACTGCAGGTGTACCATCCCTTCATCTTCCCAATTAGATGAAGGTCCTTGCAGTGTCCCTTTTGCTTTCACAATTTGATTAGAAAGCCTCAGATGAAATGTTTGGGTGACTTTGAACTCATAGCTGGGAATGGAGAAAGTTTTGACACAGTCTGTTCCTGAACTTCTTTTTCTTTCAAGCCAGTGTAGCTCTTACACAGATTTGGTGTTTGTGATTTGTGTGTGGCTGGACAGCAAGGAGGGTTATGAGTTTGTGTGAGTTGACATCAGTGTTTGTACTATGCCACCAAGTGACATTTTCATGGGTGTATCAGGAAGGTGAAACCAAAGCATTAGAAAGCCTGGAGGAGGTCTCTCTGCAGGGAGGATGCTCATGTTACCTACTCTGACCTGTGTAAGGTAACAGACTGATTGCTGCATTCAGCTTGAACTCTGAGTAAGCTGGATATCAAATTGCAGATACTATTACTCAGAAAACTCCTCTTTGCCATTTTCTTGTGGTCTGGTCCCTGCCAGGGCTTTACCTACTGGGGAAGAAAAGTTATATCCTGAGTCTTCCAGGAATAGCAAAATAAGCCAGTGCTTGAGTATCGTACTGGATTTTTAAATAACTTATACACTGTTGGTCAAATTATTTTTTAAAATATATTTTGCTTAAATAATAGTTGCTAATCTTCCTAGTAGTCAAGCCCTAGGAAAAGGGAGGGAACCTCAAACAGCACTACTATTACACAACAACCTAAAGGGATCTTTCAACATTTAAATGAGTCAAGATATGTCAGGGTAGTACTGGAACAACAGAGTAATGAATCAGGCCCCTGGTATTTTCTGTTTCCTGCCAAGTATAGGTATACCCAGAAATAAAAAAGCAAAAAAAAAAAGTATTTGGTTCTCAAGTGACACTTTGCAGAAGTCCAGGTGATTTCTTTGTCACTTAGAAAAGAACACCTCAGCTGTCAGATATGGTGAGATACAGAACTGGTAAAGCATTTTGATCTTTAAGATCTTTATTTTGGTTTTAAAAAAATCATGTCAAGTGATGTTGTGAGTGTATGTTGTCACGTAAATTGTTCATTTGAGAGTAGGACTGTCTCTTTTCCAAATAAAGATTCCACAAAAAAAAAACCACTTTTTTTTTTTTTTCTTTCAAGACATTTTTATTTTATTAAAAATATGTAAAAAATGTGTTGGGATCCAGATTGCTTGGAATTTTTCTCCCTTTTCCATTAAAAAAAATGCTTTCAATTTAAACTAAGATTTTTTTTATGATATATTTTTTAGCCTTGCTGGTGAACAGAAACTGTAGAGAAGACTTGGGATAAATCAGTGGAGTTTGCTGCCAGAAAGGCTGTACCATACCAGATATACAGTGCTAGCTCATACAAACTAGCAACTTGTGCTTTTATTTGTCCTGAGATGTGTGATGTGGCTGATGATACAGACAAATTGGTGGTCTTGAGAACTTGAAGTACAGGAGGATTGAGATGAGAAGCTAATTCATTAGCTTCTTGTCATGGCAAGAAAGAGATGAGTGAACAGGCTTGATTATATTTCTCTTTTTCATAGAATCATGGAATACCAGGTTGGAAAAGACTTTCCTGAAGCAGAGTGGGAAAGAGACTTTTATATAGTGAAATTACTCCCATTTTTCATTCTTTAAGGAAATTTTTATTCTGTTTTAAATATCTAAACTCCTTTATTGATTCTGTTGTATCTGGGTAATTGTTTAAGCAAACTAGAGTAACTGGCACTCAAATGATAAGATCTCCTGTCAGTCAGTGCTTAGTAAATGCCAGAAGATGCCCTCCCTGACCCAGAAGAAGATGCAAACTGAGCAGGGAGGATGTAAAATCCCTTCTCACTTATCTCTCCACATGCTGGTGAGGTGCAGACCTGGGCTTTGTTTTCAAGAAGTAAAATGTCTCTTGTTTCTTCACCGATTCCCAACAAGGTTGGGCACATTACTTGCACTCTGGCCCTCCTGCATCTCTGGTGGTACAGCTAAAAGGGATGAGAAAGAATGGAAAAGGGGATCAGAGGTAAATAAGGTAGTAAGTGCAAATTTATGCAGGGCCTAAATGAGGATGAGAAAGTTTAATGTGGTTATTAGTTGTTATTGTTTTGTGAAAATGCAAATCTCTACTCAAATCAGCATGGATAAAGGAATTTGGAGTGACAAGGATTGGGCAATTAATTTCTTTCATCTGAGGCAGGGTCCTGCCAACCCATTGTGTACCAGCAGCTGACAATTATGGGTCAACGAAGCTGTAATTTGGTGCAGGGGGAGCCAAGCAGAGAAAGGACAGACGGATGGGCTGTGCAGTGGGTCAGGCAGAGGGGCTCAGCTCAAGCCTTTCATGCAGTGCCTGGAAAGGGAATGGGACAAGTGGGAGGATGACAGCTGGAGAAGGTTATCGGGGAGTATTTCCTTTAATGCATTAGGATCTATTGTCTGTGTGACCTCTCTGCTGGCAAAGAGTTTTGTGACAATTATTTCTTTCTGACTTTTCTTTTTTTCCCTCACAGCACTGGTGATGGTCCTGAATAGCACAAGTGTCAGCTGGAGCACCCGCATTCAGATGTTCCTTACCTTTTGCAAGCTTGTAGCAATTCTGATAATTATAGTCCCTGGAGTTATTCAGCTAATTAAAGGTATGAAATGAAAAGTAAATGCTTTTAAAGTGTTTTTATCTGTACCCTCCCCAGTCTTTCCCCACCTGCCTTCACCAAATACTGCTTATAGCAGCAAAATCTCTTAATTAGTCTGTGCTTGCTTAACTGAGGCTCTGTACTGTCATTGATTAGAAGTGGAACTACACTGGGATGAACTGGTATTTCCTTCAGCATGCCAATGAGTCTATTCCAATGGGACTTGATTTTCAAATGAGCAAATGGACTGCTCTCCTGTAATTTGCCTTCAGTGTGAACTTTGTGAAAGGGGCAGGATGGGTTTTAAGGCCGATGGGCACACCCTTCCCCGAAGCACATGCCCTCTCCAGGCAGAATGCCTTCTTCAATTGTGCTAGTCCCTAGGTGTGGTACATGGTGTGTGGTGGTAGTGGGGGCTCAGAATTCACAAAATCACAGAACTATAGAATGGTTTGGGTTGGAAGGGGCCTTAAAGATCATCTAGTTCCAACCCCCTGCCACAGGCAGACACCTCCCTCTAGATCAGGTTTTTCAGAGCCCCATCCAGCCTGGCCTTGTACACATCCACAGCATCCATAGCTTCTCAGGACAACCTGTTCCAGTGCCTCATCACCCTCACATGGAAGAATTTCTTCCTGATATCTAATCTAAACCTACCCTCTTTCAGTTTAAAGCCATTCCCCCTTGCCCTGTCACTACATGCCTTTATAAACAGTTTGTCTCCAGATGTTTTTATTGGGGACACATGAAACAGATTCATGGATTTTGTTCTACCACTTTGGTGATGGAAATTCTGATGTTAAGTCTTCTACTGGAAAGAGAAACTAGTTAGCTATTGTTTTCATGGACTTACTGTCTACAAGTGCTGGATGCTTGTGCTACCTGCTTGATTTACTTCTTCCAAGTGAAAAATTAAAGCATACACATAAGGACAATGGTCTGGGGCTAACCCAAGCATAGGAAAGGAAAGCAGAAGCATTTGGAGAACCAGAACTACTGCACAGTGTTTATCAGTGTTGGTGGATAAGCAAGGAGTGTGAGAACCCACCTCTGTCCTTCCCAGCAGCATCCAGCATGGATATGGCTGTGCAGACTTTTCCTTGGCTCTCTGAAAGTCGATTGGGTAAAGCTGTGCTGGCAGAGAAGCTCTTTTCACTGACAGATGTTCAGCTACCTGTAGAAATTTTTCCATTACAGCCCTCTCAGCAGTGGGTGTGAGACGGTGACAAACCTCAGATCACTATCCTTACAACAGCTACATAGAGCACAAGCAGCCATTCAGCTCAGAGGGGCAGAATAGGGAGCACTCGTTAATAAATCGATGGCAGATTTTATCTAACAAAAACTATCACAGCTGTTGGCTTTGTCCCTGGGGATGCTCTTTTCTGATGCTTCACAAACCCTCCCATCTGAGTGAACAGAACGTTAGTCTGTGCGGTGAGCTCAGTTTGTCAGGGACAGGCATCTCACTGTGGTTAATATAGACTGAAATAAAAGTTTTCCTGTGTAACACTCTGCTGATTCATTCTTTTTATCTTCCTGTTTTCCACTTTTTTTCTGGCAGCTGCAATATCATTTCCTGTTGCACATTATACATGAAATATGCAAAATTTCTCTCTGTTCCTATCTGCCCCACTTTTCCTAGACCTTTGGAGCAGGTCAGACCCAGGTTTGGATTGGAGTTTGCTGTCCTGAAATAGCTCAGATAGTGTCCATGATTCCCCACTTTTCCCTTATCCATAATGCCTCCACTTCAGTGGGAATTTTGACTGAGGGCTCAGTGAAAACAGAGCAAAGGGTAGAGGATTTATCCCATTGCTAATGTAAGTCTGAATGAACTCTGCTTCTTCCTGCACTGTATCTATGGAGGATCATTGCTTCTCAGGAAATTTGAGATATTGTAAGGATGTCATACAAACCATAGAGCACCTTGTAAATAAATAAGATCATAATACAAGTCTTACATATTTGCATTTATCTCTATATATGCTATATATATAATTCTTCCTTGCTATAATATTCATACAGTACTGACTATCATGTGGTAGGGAGTTAATAATCTAATTTTTCAGTGGTAAAAAACTTTGAGATTTTGGGTTTATTTATCTTATAAATGTCACTTCTGAATGAAATGCCAGCAAAGTTCCTTCTGATTGAAGTGTTGAACAAGTGAAAGTTTCCACATCAAACACTACAGAGCTTGTTCTGCTCTTTCATGTTGACATAAGTCACTGCTGGAGATGACAAAGCAGTGAGTGTCATCAAGCTCAGAATGCTTTGAAACAAACTAATAGGTCAAATTCTGCTATTGCATGACTAGGGATGCCACATACTGCTGGCAGGTTGTGGCTGCAAGGGTTGTGTCAGAAATCAAGGTCAAGGGCAGGACTTGATGTCAGTGAATTGTTGGGTGATCAAATGTTCCATGGTGTGATATATTTATTTGTTTTAAAATAGCAGATGACCCAAGAGCTTGTTTTTTCAATATGCTTTTTGTTGATGTTGCAGGAGAAACGCAGCACTTTAAAAATGCCTTTGCAGGGAATGATGCCAGTGTTATGGGATTACCACTTGCTTTCTATTCGGGAATGTATGCCTACTCAGGCTGGTAAGTGGATGAAACTTGTAAGTATTTGTCCTGAACATGAGCACTAACATACTCTAACAAAGACATTTGTTCAGATGAAGAACATCTTTTGCCAAGCTACATCATATGGTAAGGGTACTTCTCACCACTTTTCCATATGCTCAGTGGTTATTGTGCAAGCAGCTCTACAAAGCAAAGATTTTCTTCTCCAGTATATGATACATAAGCATGCATTGAATGCTAGAAAAAAAAAGGAATATTATTAAATTTTCATTATTTTGATAAAAGGAATAATGAAGGGATAATTCTTGTTGAACAAGTCAGTAATTACATGAAAAACAAACCCATGATTCTGTTATAAAGTGATGTGACCCTTAGCTTTGCTTTGTAAAAGCAGTATTTGAAGAATAAGAAGTAAACTGTGATAAGATCAGTATGGATCACAAAACAGGGCAAAAAAAACCTAGATTCTTTTGCTTCTTGCTCAGAGAGAATTGGACCTCACTTAACAACAAGTGCAACTGGCTTCTAAAGAAGTCAAGTGCTATTGACTGTGAGCAAAGGTATGAGAATCTGCCTTCAGGTATCCTGCTCAGAACTTTCAAGTTCTTTGTCTCTTTCCCCACCAAAGTACACAGCAGCTGGTTTGAAAGGTGCTGCCACTCTTAGAATCTGCCTTTACAATTTATTCGTGCTAGTGAGAGCTCCACATTGTGCAGTGCCAAAGGGCTTTCAAAGCAGCAGTGTGGGGGGAAAAAGGAGACTACAAGGCACAGAGTGGGCTTATTTTGAGATAGCTTTGTCTGCAGGTCTTCACTTTGCTTTCCATAGCCTCACAGGCAGCCAAGTTCTTTGCTTCACACAAAAGGCAAGGGCTGAGAGATAAGAGGTTTATTTATTTAATTCTGAGGGACAATGGGCCGAACATTGGAGTTCTCTGCCCATCTGTAACTCCCTGGTTGCAGGAGCATTATAAACACGCACACCAAAGTATGAACAGAACTTTATATATTAAATGGCAGGAGGGGAGGAAGCCCAAGAGAGTCCAAAGCATTTATCTGGGATAGGTATGTAAGAAAAGAGCCTGGCATTTTGAAGCCTCAAAGAGATGGAACTTATTATGCAGTGTCTACTTTCTTCCCTCTCTCTCCTATAACCTCCTCTGTCTTTCATACCCATACATGTGATGGTTTCTCACTTTTAAAACATTAACCCAGCTGTATGTTTTTGTATGAAAGCAATTTTAAAAGCTCTTTAAAATCATTTGGGTTTGTTTATTATAAAATCCTACATCAAAAAATCTGTTATTATGTGGCTTCTTTTCCATTTCTTTCCATTTTCCACATAACAGTCCAAGCCTCTAGTCTTTTTTCCTTTACACCTTCTGACTTTCACTTCAAGGTCCTTATTTGCCACTTATAAAAGAAATTAGCAGGAAAAAGACCTAATTTGGCTAGTGTTTCTTCTCAGCTGCCTATTTGTCTTTGTCACCAGCTGGAATTGATTGCCTCAGAACACAGAGGAGCAGACCATTAAGTGGAGTGTCAATACCCTTGCACTATCAGTTTCATGGGGCTAAATCAATACAATAAGCTGAATGTGAAGAGGTGTTGCAAGTGTTGGTGGCATGTCCCTGGATGCAGGCAGAATTTTATGCATAGCCTGCAAGACTATTAACTTTTAATGATACAGCTTTGAAGAAGAAAATAGAGGTAGTATCTCTTCGATGTATGGTTTCATCCTGCCACGAGCAAGTGTAGACTATTGGGTATATAAAATGCTGAGTGAGAAAGGACAAATGGAGAAAAGAATGCAAGGAAACATATCTTTGTATCAATAAAAGGACTGATGCTGGGCTGTCATAGAATCATAGAATCACAGAATGGTTTGGATTGGAAGGGACCTTTAAAGATCATCTAGTTCCAGCCCCACTGCCATGGACAGGGATACCTCCCATTAGACCAGACCAGGTTGCTCAAAGCCCCATCCAGCCTTGCCTTGAACATTGCCAAGGATGAGATGTGCAAAACTTCTCTGGGCAACCTGTTCCAATGCTTTTCCACCCTCACTATAAAGATTTTTCTTCCATATATATAACCTAAATTTCCTCTCTTTCAGTTTGAACCCATTACTCCTTGTCCTCTTACAACAGTTCCTGGTGAAAATCACTACTGTCTAGAAGCAGGACTAAGACCAGAAAAAAGTGGCTGAACAACTTATTAGTCAGAAGCCATCTCTCCTTTGAACTATCCCAACTTCTTCTTTGGAGCTCTATGCCACAAAGCTTCAAAGCAAGTGCTGAGGTTGTTGCATAAGATGGCAAATCTAGTTTCACAGAATTTCATGCTCAGTCACAAAATCACATTTTTTTTAAAAACCGTGAGGCAGCAATAACTCGTTCTGCTAACCCAGATCTGTTCCAAGACTTGTGATGTAGCAAAGCTCCCAGACTTTCTGCCAGCTCAGTTACCATTTGTTTATTCACTGTAGCACTGTTGGCTCAGATATCATTTGTCTTTCTGTACAAGCCAGCATAAGTGCTGTATTGACTGCTCTGTTTAATTAGCCAGGATGTGACTTTGTGCCCATCTCCGAGCCAGGCACAACTGTGATCCAGTGATGTGCAGACCTAGTGCTAATAAATGCAGAACAGAGGGTTCAGTGACCTTGAGGCTTGTGGTTGCTTTGTATGCAGGGCTGTGCTCAGTGAGTAGTTCCTCTGAATTCCCATACAGAGCTGTCTCTTGAACGCGGATGGAATATGACCAGAGAGCAGACGATACTGGAGGTTGTTCCAAGAGTATGCAGGGTTAGCACCCTGAGTTTGTGATTTTATACAACAAACTATTGTCAGATCCTCATTTTATGAGGGGGTTTTTCCTGAGGCTTCATTTGTTTTTATTGTTAAGAAGTCTTTATTGAGTGCTCTGATGAGCCTTTTTGCTCGTATAACATGAAATTTGAAAAGGCTACAACCACAAATGGAATATTAGGCTTGAGGGTGTGTATGTGTGTATAGGATAAGGGTAAATCATAATCTGCCTAGTATGTTGGGGGGAAAAAAATTAATTCCACACTGACTACATAGCTTTTGTCTTTTTTCTTCTGCTTTGCTGTCTTTTCTGAGAATTCCCTTCCTGATTGTAGGGATGAAGGAAGGTTAAATCTCACACCGTCCTTTAATCCAGACATGGGTCTGCAAAGTCTACTGTAATTAACAGCAGTGTTTAAATAAAAGCATCTTCTTGATTCTTTGTGAAAGAAATACAGAATCAAAATCTATCAAGCCCTTATAATACATTTTATAACTTTTTTCTAGGTTTTACCTCAATTTTGTCACTGAAGAAGTGGAAAACCCTGAAAAGTATGTACCTAGTGTTTTTCTTGACTTTTGAAAAATGGTAGTAAAATTTAAAATGTTATAAAAGTAGTGATCTTCAGAAATTCTGCATGCTGGTCAAGCTTCTTGCTTACCAGCAGATCTGGTATCTATTTGAATTGCAACTGCTTGAAGATTTGCTATTTTTGGTCTGTTGTGACCTTGTTACGTATTCCACTTTTATGTGCACAGAAAGCAGAAAACTAAGTAGATCTCTAGGGCACAGGTTCTTCCCCTCAAGATACAACTAACTATCAGTGGCTCCTTTCAGTGACAGTTGCTGGTATCCTGTCAGGGAAATCTTGCCCAAGAAACTTTTCTGCTGCAATATTTGTCAGTTTTGCTGTGTTTAAATATTAATCAAATACTTATTTCTACTTGGTCTAGATGTTTCAGAGGTGCAGGATCATGAATACACATAGTGCAGCATCCGACCCAATTAAACCAAACAGGAGATATGGGTCCGAGTTTGTTTCAAACTCACAGCACCTGTCTGTAAAATATGGAAAGACAAACTGTCCTCTTGGGGAGAGTTTGATTTGTCCCATCAACTTCAGTACATATGTTTTGGTACATGGGGGCAGTAATAAAAAGCTACTAACCTTTTCTAAATATTGACAGAAAATATGCCTTGTCAAATAATTTGTTTACTTTGAGGAAATTACAATTTACTTGATCAAAAATGATTACTAAATATCACTTTCTTAGGTTTTTAAAATAAGATAGCTGGCTGTGTACCAATCACTTGTTTTTTTTAAAGGATATTCAGCACTGTACACTCAGGCAATATGAATCTCAGACATTTAGAGAATGAACGAAAACCCCAAAGAGTCACTGATAGGGAGCTTGCAGAAAGATTTTTTACTGGTTACTTGAAGATCTGAACCGAACCTGTTGCTGTTTCAAAGGCATGAAAACCTTTATAAAGAAATTGATGATAGAACATGAGGATGGCAGAAAGACTGGCAGATTTCCATTGTTTTAGTGTCTTTGAGGGGTCTTGGGTGTGTGTTAATGTGCTCTTTAATGTGATCAGGGTATGTAGCTCAAGGATTTTATGACTGGAAGCTGAAACCAGGCAAATGTTGGTAGAAAATACAGCATTAATATTATACCTATGTACAAATGGGTTTTTCATTGGTAGTCTTCAGTTGAGACAAAACAATGTTTTAGGATCTGTGCTTTAGTAAAACATGAGACAACAGCACTGGAGGTATTTAAAAGACATGTAGAGGTGGCAGTTAGGGACATGGTTTAGTGGTGGACCCATCAGTGCTGAGTTATCAGTTGGACTCCATGATCTTAGAGGTCTTTTCAAACCTAAATGATTCTATGATTCAAAGTCATTTGTGTTGGTGGAGAGCAGCTGGGTAAAGCTTACCCGGCCTGGGACACACAGAATAAGTGGTGTGGGTTCAATTTTGAGGCTTTTTTTTTCTTTTCTTTTTTCCCACTGCAGCTGGGATGTGAGGGAAGAACGCACTGTCTTTTCTGCCCTCATCTCAGGAGAGCTTCTCTGTTCTCCAGGTTACCTTTGGAGAGCTGCTGAAGTTATTCGTGCTGCTAGATAGGAAGTAGTACTGGAGGGCAAACCACATAACCTGGCTGGTTCAGTGTATTCCAGGGTATCTCTGGGAGAAAAAACAGCTCAGTATTACACATGCAATGGTATCACAAAGCTGTTTAAGCTTCCCTTCATCACTCTTCTTGGGGCTGCACTTTGAGAGGATGAGAAGGGAAGATGCTTGGTGTTTACAGCCTCCATGCAAAGGTATAATATAGAACAGAAGAGTCTCAGATTTTGAACATTGCTAAATAAGTGGCAGGTGATGACAGGGCAAGTGTATTGCTGCCAGCTGTCTAACAGAGACCTCTGCATCACCTATAAATGGGGATTCTGGACTCCCTTAACCTGAAACAAGTGATTAAATGAAACAATTGAAACTTTTATTTTTTTTATCTGGTTGCCACCTATGAATGGCTCTGTTGGAAAGATGTCCTGTTGCTTCACCACTGTTCCCAAAGCTACAGGACAAGGAACAGTGTGTATTAATCCCAGTGGCAACTGTCTCAGCTCCCTCCAAATTCAGTGCAGGTGTTAGATGAGCCAGTTATCATGCTGCTGTTGTAGGTATTTATTAAAACTCAACTGCTTATTATTTATTAACCTAAAATGCTGTCTTTCCTTTCATTCTTGCTGTATGCATTATGTTAATGGTTGCACTGGGCTAGTGGAAGGTGCCCCTGCCCATGACAGGGGCCTTGGAACTGCTACTTTGAGGTCCCTTCCAACACAAACCATTCTGTGATTCTATTGTATAGTGCTGCTGTGGAGGTGTGATGTAGCTGTTTTTAAAAGGGAAAAGGGAAGTACAGGCTTGAACCACTTAGAACCTGTAACAGCTCCAGGTGTGCAATTTGTAATGTTTGTCAGTGGTTAGGGATGTAAATTACTTACAGCAAGAGAGGTGAGCATGCTGATGTCTTCTGGCCTGCAGCTGCCAAAGTAAATGTTTGCCTGAGAATCAGTCACAGTTGTGTATATCCAGATGTATGACAGCTTTGGAAGTAACTGAGATGAATGATAACTCCATTCCTATGTTAACCAGCCTGATGCAAACCTGCCGTGAATGTATCAAAGGAACTGTGGAAGAACAGCACAAGGTACAGCAGGGAGAAGGCAGGAAAATGCTCTAGCAGAGAGTGGGGATGGGGCTTTGAGCAACCTGGTCTGGTGGAAGGATTAGAACTAGATGATCTTTAAGGTCCCTTCCAATCCAAACCATTCTATGATTCTATGAACTGGGCTAGAATATATCCTGATATGTGCAGGAAGGTGGAAACATCTACTTTTAGACACTAAAGTTTTCCAGATAGGGACTGCATTTCTTGCTGTGGTGTGTGTGGTGACAGGAAAACCTGCTGGAGTACAGCACATGTCATTGGGAGTCCTGGAGAGGGGCAGGGAAAGGGGGGGTGGTTGTGCCCTTGCCCAGCTGAAAGCCTCTTTTATGCTCCAATGGAGTGGCTGTTTGTACAAGCAGAAAGGGCTTGGGAGGCTGTGGGAGTCTGTGGAGTTGCAGTAACCTACCCAGAAACAATAAACTGCAGATTTAAGACTATAAATAGGATAAATACTACAGGCCTGATGCACTGGGATACTTAGGTGGTATGAAACCCTAGATAGAGGGAGCTGAAACAGAGACAGTGGAAATGAGCCAAGTGGGTAGGAAGTACCCTTTAAATCATAGAAGGGAGAATAGAGAGACCAAAAAATAAATAATCTCAAAGTAGATGCTATTACTTTTTTGAACAGAGTTTTAGATGTACTGTTGAATTCCCACTTTGGAAATGGCACAGTTCCTTCTTTGGTATAAGGAAATTATTATAACCTCAATTATCATAAGATGTAAAACCAGCTTTTTCTATCTCCTGCTAAACCCCCTTTTGATGTCTCATTTTCCAGGCTGAACTTAACTTCCTTATTACTCTTGCTTTAAGTGCTTTCCTCATGAAGTATTAGTAGGACCTGAAGCAACACAAAGTTAATGTTTTTTTTACAAGGAGCTTTGGTTGCAGCATTCACTGCTTTAATGTACAATTTTTTAAAAGAGCCTGAAATAATTGTATTATCAAGAATATGTGGAACAACACTGAAGTGTAGCAACAAATTTCTTTTACTTTTTATGGAAATTATGCTGCACATATATGTGCTGGGTCAATAGCAAATGTTGTTTGAAATGAAATATCTAAATAATCCTTCAAGCAGAACTTCACCAAAGCAAACTTGTGCAGCTGCATCACATGGGGCTTTGATCTTTTTGATTTTCTTACATTATAAGGATCAGCCCTACTCAGACTGAGGTCTTGTTGTATTGTCTAAATAATTAATGAGTGAAGGAACAGCCAGGTCACTGAGAGAGAATTTGTCACCTGAAAATTGACAGGAGCCATGTTGTCTGAAGCAGTAAATTTCTAGGACTGGAAATCAAGCATACTGAATTTTCAGACTCATTTCTTATACAAAGTCCTTGAGCTCATCTGTATTCCTGAGCACCCACTATGTACTCTCAAGAAACAGGCCAAGTTTTTTTCAGTCAAGTGTCCTGGGGCTCATGCCTGAACAACACTTTCCTCCTCCCTTGCCAGACAGGGTAGAGTCCAGGATCACTGCTTTAGTTTGTAAAGAATTTTGACTGTCTCCAGATGACAAAATAACTGAGGAGTGTTTTTACATTACAGCAACATCTTCGGAGCCTTGTCAAAGTCAGGGCCAGATTGTATCAGATTCTGGCTGAAGAGAATCCTGCTTTAAAAAAAATTGTGCTGCATCCTTACTACAAGCAGATGAAATTATGAAGATTTAGCCTCTTGTTGGAAAAGAAAGAAAATATTATTTCAGTTTCAGGGGAGGGAAACCTAAGACTCAAATTCCTTAATGACTTCAAGGAAGTCTGTGATCAAGGGGGAAACTAGAGAGAGGTATTGATTCACAGCTCTCATTTAACTGATTCACATTATATCTTTGGCAGTGTGAGGTTTGGTTAGAGTTGTTGAATAGGAAATATTTTTCATTTAGTGGTCTTCAATTTCAGTGGTACAAAATGATAGGAGATTTTCAAAGGACGTGGAATCTGAAAATATATTACAACATAGATTACTTTGCTGTTGCAGTTAAGTATAGCTGTTATTTGGCATAATACTTTCTTTTTTCTCTCTTTTTCCTTTTTCCTTTCCCTCTCCCTTATTAAACCATTTCATTTGCAAATATTCCATTTCTGTTTGTAAAGTAACTTTAGTCCAGCCCAGGCAATCTATCATTGTTTAAAAATTTACACAGTGCAAAGAACATATTATTGAGATGTATAGTGTTTATAAGTCTGGTCTCAGATTGATAAATCATGTCTTACACTGTTGAAAAGCCAAGAAATTAATTGCTTTGCTATGACCTTGGGGTTTGAGATTAGTCAGTGTGTCTATTAGAA